GTTCCTCTGTCAAAGATGAATGTGGGTCATGAATGCTGTAGTATGTCATTAGATTATTTTTAAATTCCATTTCATCATTAAATTGGTACTAGGAAGGATACTTTTCTTTAAACGTTAATCTTAGTGTGACCGAGTACAGGGCTGACTTCCCCAGTTGAGATGCTGTCCAGAAAACTAACACATCCTTGTCCCGCTTAGCGAGATGTGGGAGTGTTTAGGTTGAGGCTTGAAACAAAACCCAAGCATTTGCCGGTAATTCAGTAAATGCCTTGGCTGCACAAGGGCTCTGCATGATCGAGATTTGCAGCCCGAAGTGACCTGAAATCAATTCACTGGGGTCAGTAACTGGAAAGGGCCATGAATATATGGTGAAATGCAGCGATTTATGTCTAAATACCAATTAACAGAGTTGTTCCCAGGTACGTTAGGCTGCTTGCACACAGGTTTTTGGTGTCCATTCACAGCAGTAGCAGAAGGTATCTTTAAAGCACAGGGATTTATTCTTATTTTGGATGACCTCGGAATCTCTGGATAGTTTGTTTAGAGCCTCTGTAAAGACCTACGATAAGCCGTAAGGAATCACGGCTCATTACGCAGGATGTGCGATACAATCACATTTAAAGAGCAGTACATTTGCTTTCTGTATTAATACGTTATAATTTGTGGCGAAGTATATTATCATTTTATGCAAGATTATTCTCTTCCACTCCCCAGCGGTTAACACCCACCAAGTAGCAGCACTCTCGCTAACCCACCGCGCCCAGCTCGGACACCTAGGGCGACCGAGCGCGGGGTCCCCATTAGAAGAGCTCAGCAAGAGCAGCGAAATCATAGAATCACAGACTCGTTTTGGTTGGAAAGGCCCTTTAGGATCATGCAGTCCAACCATTAACCTAACCATTAACCTTTTAGTCTAGTCTACCATTGATTTTAGTCTAGTCTACCATTGATTGGCTTAGAGTAGACTTGGTAGTGTAGGTTACTGGTTGGACTGGATGATCTTAAAGGGCTTTTCCAACCTCAACGATTCTAGGATTCTATTCTATGATTCTAACACTGCCAAGTCCACCACTAAACCAATTAAGGGGAGAGGCACAATTAATTGCATGTTTCCTGGCTTGCTGGCTGCATTAGTTTTTAACAGAAGTAAAACCAGAACAGAATCTTTAAGGCTGGAAAGGATCTCTAAGGTCATCAGTCCAACCACCAACCCAACACCCCCATGCCCACTAAACCATGTCCCCAAGTGCCACCTCTGCCCGTTTTTTTAACCCCTCCAGGGATGGGGACTCCCCCACCTCTCTGGGCAGCCTGTTCCAGTGTTTTTTTCCATTAAGAAGTTTTTCCTAATATCCAATCTAAACCTCCCCTGGCACAGCTTGGGGCCATTTCGTCTCATCCTGTCTCTAGTTACTTGGGAGAAGAGCCCACAGAAGAGCCCACATGCAGCACAGCTGGGAAATAACGGCCCTGGCTTTGCCGACAGGGGGGGGAACAGGGCGAGCTGGAGGGAGCCGGGCCAGCGGCCGAGCCTGCGGTGCGAGCCCTGGACGAGAGGGGAGCGGGGAAGGTGAGCAGGGAGGGCTGCAGCAGCGACGGTCGCACGACTCGCGCAGCTTTTGCCTTATCTTTCCGGCAAGGCCGTAACTGTGTCGGAAACGGAAGACTCTCCACCCACCTTCGTTAAACAAACTTTGTTTTATTCACACAAGGTGATGCACACATACTGCAGACAGGAGGCCAAACAGATATTCCAGTAAAACGGATCCCCTCTTCTTAATACTGCAACTCTTTAAGACAATTTTCTGGAAGAACTGCGACACGACTGTTACCCAGCACGCGTTCACCTTAACCCCCGCACAAAACAGAAGTAGGACCTTGGTCCGAATCCAGAGCGGTGGTGCCGGATCGCTCGCTGGCCGACCGACGGTGCTGCGGTGCCGGTGCAGGGAGCGGCGCCGGGAAAGCTCAGACGTGCTCAGAACCTGCCCCAGCTGTCGCTCCTTTCCTTCATTTTTCATTTGCACCAATTCAAAACAGTTTGAGTCAGCTTCACGTAAAATTTAACTGGTAAGAGCCATCAATTCTAAAAAGTTATTCGTTCATTCAACAGATCCATCACAGTGTTCAATGTAAGCAAGAGTAGTGCCTATTGTTTCTTAGAAAAGATGCATAGATTAAAATAAGGGGGGGAGGAAAAAAAAAAAGTCTTCCTATCAGAAAATAATTCCTGTAAGAGATTGCAGCTGCAGCCATGTCCCACTCGGCTCTCGTTTCTGAGGGACAGCCTTCGAAAGAATTCCACTGTTCCACAAGTCCATGAACATCTATGAACAAAGCCTAAAGTAAAACGAGCACAGAACATTGTTTTTAAGGTTTGCTTGTTACAGAAACAATCTGATTTTTTTTTTTTTTTTTAGTATTGTAAATTCTGTACCAAATGAAACAGGCAGTGCATTTGTCACACCTGGGTGAAAGACCACAATTTCTCAAAACACGTCTCTGCGTGGTGATATTACAGACAAATTCCATCGCTGCTGTCAGCCGACGATAACTTAGACATAACAGGTTGCCAACTCATACTAGACAAAAATTTCTCTAGTATTGGTATTTTCAACACCCATGAAACATATTACAAGAAAATGCTCATTATAAAGTCGCACAAATTTCTACATTAACCATGAAGAGTTTATACGAAAAAGCAGAAGTTATCTACTGTTGATTCCTGATATAAAACCTATAGGTAGGTAGAAATCTAATGTAGAAATCTGAAGTTAGAGAAATCCTTTGGCAGCATGTTCAGTTACAATCAGGCCTTGAAAATAAATATGATCATGTATAGAAGTACGAAGAGAAAAACCAGATCCTATTAACACCAAAACCCTCTAAATACACTATTTTAATAATAATTAAATTATTTTACACTATCTACAAGTTGCATATCACAGAATTAGGAATATAAGAGATGACAGAGTGACAAATCCTGCTTTTATAAAATTTCAGGCTTTAACAGTATGCATATATGTAGCTGTGTAGAAAATCTCAGACAAATGAGTATATACATTATTTATATTTAATAATTAACTGAACATAATCAAATCCCATCTGCCTAGCCATCTCAATTCAAGATACTCAATATTTCTGCTGGACCAAAGTTTTGAATCCAATAAAAATCCCTACCTTAATCTCAGTTTACTAACAAACATGGAGAATCTGTATCAATGATAGCAAGGTTTATTTAGTTTGACTACATACCAACTCGGAACAAAGTAAACTCTTACAAAAAAAATCTCCAAACAATAAGAACTTTGAACAGCAGCATTGAAGTTAATTATTCTTCTTGAAGAACGCAAGGAACAAGTTATCAAAATACTTCAGTATTGCAACTCGTGTTATTTATACTTAACTACTCCAAGGGGAAGGAATAAAGACAAATTAAAGTCACATCAAAAGGAAAGACAAAAGCTTCCTTCCGATTGCACAAAATTAAGTAGAAAACTGATTTTATGAGCAGGTACTGACTACCTTATTGCATAAGCATGAGGCTGCAAACGAATAAGGTCATGATACTAAATAATTAAATAAAATGTAAAGGAAATGGAGGTGGCGCTGAGCGAAGGGCGGTTTGTATTACACAACAACAGTCTACAACCTGATAGTTCTCATTTGGTAGAAAATTCATGCTCCAAACATACTTATTTAGACATTCGGGAGTTTCAGGTGTTTAATCAAGACGGTTTTATCAGCGATTTGCTTCCATTATTTTCCCAACCTAAAGATTATTACTCATCATAAAATTGTTAAAACAGGTATAAATATGACTATGCTAAAGTGAGTAGGTAAACAGGAGGAGAACAAAGTGGTGTTTTTCAGAGGTTGAAACAACGAAAGAAATAAATCCCACATTCCTGAAAGAATTCAGCTCCTCTGCTCCTCTCCTACAAACCCCACCCATTAAAAAAGTGCATCAGGGAAGAAAATCTTTGATTTCTTTTCTTAGCCACCAAATGCTACGCTTCCACAGTTCCAAGGCAATTCCTTTTCTAAAGACACGTCTGTCACGTTCAATATGCAGCCGCTCCTTGTATTAAATGAGGAGCACGATCCCACTGCCAAAGCACGTGTACTCTGCCTATACAGACAGTGCGTTAAGTACACCTTTTTCACGTGGTTTAAGAGTTTCTCTGGCTGTAATCGGCGTTTATTTAGACGTGGAAATGGTGACAGAGAAAGGAAATCCAAGAGAGGCAAGAACCCCCTGGTCCCACAAAGACAATTCCTGTTCCAGCCAGCTCCCCACTGGAAAGGGAACAAGGCAGCTTCTCACAGTCTTAAGCGTCAAACATTCTTGAGCCCCTCCTTTACCACAAGGAACTGCAATACTCCTTCACTTCTAAATACATCCAAAAAGGAAAAGAAAAGAGATTCTGTACAGGTTTCTGGCTCAGCACTTTGTATCCACAGAGTGCCCACACAGTCAGCTGGGAGCAGCCCTTGCCTGCTTTTGCAGAGGAGAATTGTGCTTGCGGTACCACCTCTGCCAAAAGACGCAAGCGAGTTCTAGCAAAACCCCACCTGTTTTCTTCACAAGAAACACATCCGAAGTTCTCTGTAGCATCCCAAAAATCTAACAGGCAGCACTAAAAAATCTCATTTCTCATACTTCTGTAGGTACATGGTCCTCACTGTCACGATAGCAAATCATTTTCTCTTCCAGCTGTCATCTGCTGAGCTCATGCAGTTGTTCCAATTACGCAGTGCACATCATATTGTAAAGCTCGCTACAGCAGCGCAGAGAAAAGGTGGCCTCTAAATCCGCACAGATTCTCTAAAGCCACTTGGATAGAAAGATTATAGTAAGACACCAGAGGAGGCAGTGCATGATGAGAACAATGCGTAACAATGATTAAGCATCCTTAAGTTTTCATAAACACATTGAAAAGAAAATTATTTTTGGACAATCTTTTAACTTAAGATTCACAAATGGCGTTTCTTGAAACCACTGAAACAAGGGCTCAGAGTAATCTGAAATTATTTTAAACCATCAGCTAATCTAGTTCAAGCTATCTATGCAAATGCTTAACAATCGGGAGTCTGATCATCTGCATCACCCTAATGCAGTAAGTTGGGTTATTTAAAAAGGAAAATGTATTTTGACATCCGTGACAGGTATTGATAAAAATCATTAGGTCAGGCAACCTTTATTCATTAATTCAGAAACATGAGCTGGTTTGTTTTTAAAGGAGAGGCTGTTGATGGTAATTTGTTTGTTGCTGTAGAACGGAATGAGCGGGAACTGCCACGGGATAACCTGGTCCTTGAGGCAAACTCGACGTGCTATTCTGGTAAGCCGACATATCCACTGACATGCCCATCTGCTGCTGGGGGTAAGCAGCTGTGCTGGCCACCGACGGAAGGCCAGGGTTCTGGTTCACGTACGTCTGGTTTAACACAGAATCCGGTCCTGGGCTGTAACAAAACGAAACAAATCTAATTCTGACAAGCTCGGGTCTATTTATCCGATGAGCAGATTTGCAAATAAGAATATTGCTTAGCCCAAAAGCGATCTGTGTATTTCCAAAATGACCAAAACCAGTATTACGTGTCATTGTAAACATCCCTAGAACACACAACCTCCAGACAAAGCAGTAAAAGTACCATCAGGAAGAAGGTGATCTAAGAGTCTGCTGAAGCGATACCTTAAATATGCAGCTTGAGCTGGCTGAGTTGCTCCAGAAGAATTTATACTTTGAGGCAGAGACCTCAACTGCCCCATCTGATCAGGTCCTAGGCTGTAACCTGGGGAAATGGTGACTTGGTGAACACCCTGGATCATGTAGTTTCCACCAGGTGGCTGTACAGGATATGACTGTAAATAAAAAATAATAATAATTGTATACCTTTTATTTTCAATTAAGTAGCAGCAAATGTGGCACAGAATACCGCTACAATGAACACATACGTTAGGGTTCAAAGGCTGAATGAACATCAACGAATTTTTCCAACAAGGTTCTAAAACCAAAACGTGTACCTTCTCATAACACGTTTTAAATAGGCATCCTTTATTTCATCAGAAGGTACCTTTTCCAGAAATGCACTGCTAACAAGGTCAGTGCTCAATATCTGAAAGAACCACCTCATGTATCACATACAAGACAGCCGCCCCTCCCAGAAACCTTATTTCTTTCTCTCTAATTTGCCTCTTCTTTAAAATGTTCAATCCTTATGTATTTTGATGCACCGACTTGAGTAGGAAGATGGGCACCATATGAGATTTGTTCTTTAAACACATTCTGGAAATTAAAACATAGGAATATTCTAAGACTAAAACGCAAAAGGAAAGCAGCAACTTTCGTTCCTTGTATTTCTGGTTTAAGATAGTGCAAGTCTTTACTCAAAATTCAGACAGAACAGGTGGTGTAACATGCTTAGGCTACAGAAGTCTATGCTGCTCATTGGTTTTGCGTTAAGCGCAGCATGGTTGGTGTTATCTTGTCTTTTCCACCGCTGGAAGCATGCATCTTGGAAGAAACAGTAAACTCCAGTTGCCTTTTGGCTTAAATTACTTTTTAACCTCCAAATATAATGAATTTTCCATCGCTAGCAGCAGTTAAGGACATGGAATTGCTTTTAACTGACATATTTTCAGATCTAGCAGTTGCTATGGCAACTATTCTTTTCCCACTGAACAATTAACATTAAAGTAGAAGTCACTTAAAGTAAAAACACTCGTTCTATGCTTTCTCCAAAAAGGATCTTTAAAAATCTTTTTCTCCTCCATTTTTGTTTTCTTAAAACATCAATATGGCCCATTAGAGAGACTGCAAAGCAGTTCTGAGCTGTGACACCCCCTAATACAACGTGTTCATTTCTTAAGGAAAAAAAAAAAGACAGCTAAAACCAGACCAGTGTTTCTATATTTAGAAAAAGTACACTGCGCTCATGATTAACGTGCTAATATTAAAGTTCACTCACATCCCCGCTATTAGACAAGAAGGTAACATTTTACTTTAAGACTGAGGACATGACTCACAGCAAGAATATCCACCAAGCTGCTGAAATTCTAACTGTAAAAAAATTAATAATGGAAGGCATCTTTTAGTATTTGCAATACAGTATCCTTCTGTTAAGTAGAGCAAATTTAACAACTGTACCTTATTGTACAAGCAGGTAGCGGCAAATCAAAGTACTCCGTTCTACTGCATAAATGGTAATTTATTCTAAAGGCTATAAAAAGTCACCAGGCAATGTCAGATTGTTCGTAGGCTAGCAAGAAAGCGCACACTTCATTTTTGCTGTCATCTTTTTAAATAGAAATCTATATTAGGAAAGTCTCTATTTCCAGAAAGGAGTACTGACCTGCACTGAAACGCCAGAAGATGTAGGCGGGTATTGTGCAGGATGGTGGAGTTTTGAGTAGGCTGAGTACATCGGTGTTTCATTCATCAGTTTGTTATAGAGCTCCAGAGCTTCTAGAACTTTCACATTCAATTCTGATAATTCTGAATGTTTTCTGTTTCAAAACAAATATGTGCAGATGCTAAGTTTCTCTAACATCTAGTGTTAGATGGTAAAAAGTAAGAGTGGTTCATTAAACAGTTTTGAATATGCAAGGAAAAAAAAAAAAACCAACTTAAAAGGCAGACGGTCAATTTGTTACACATCGAGATTGCAAAATTGCCATTCTGTTTCTTACAGCAATGGGACTGGAAGGAGGGTCCAAGTGGTGAACAACTATTCGTCCCCAGCTGCAGTAAGGCAAGCAGCTCCACAGGTGCTAGTTAGCTTTTCTTTTCACCCTCAAATATCCCTAGGAGTCTAAAGGGGAAGAGGTGAAGATAGCGTTGAATGGATTCTCCTGTCATGGAGGAGAGTCAGCAGCGGACTGAAAATACCAAGCTCCAGACAGAGTGCAAAAGGCTACAGTCAGAAAGTGTTAATATAAAATGCACCCAGTAACTTATGCCGTAAGTTCTGGAGAGCAGCAATCAAATCTTAGCACACGCCCTGGGACTTCGGTACCTAAGTGTTAAAAAATAAAGGTAGAATTGTCCAAATTTCTTTCTTGCAAGATTTTCTAGCTTGGGAGATGAAAGACAAAGTACCGAAAAAAAAAACCCAACAAAAAACCCCAAAAAACCCAACTGCACAATTTGAAGTAAATCCTAGTAAATAATGCAGAAGCTATGTTATGGCTCACCTATCTATCTCTTCTAGCTTTTCATCTATCATTGGACCCATCTGTTGACAAACATCTGTGAAGACAAAAGTGTCAAGCTAGTTAATGTCTTGCACAATTAAAAGTTTAAACGCAGCCAAAAAATACTTTGTCCAAGTACACTAAAATAGCATACAAAATTGGAGAGTGCACCTTGTTATCATGTGTGTCCCGTTCCGCCAGCCCAAACAGAGAAGAAAAATACTTCCGTCATTCTACTTTGTCATCCTCTCTCCTCGTTCCCTCTACCCTCTCAAACAAAAGACTACTGATGAAAAACATGGGAAATTTTGCATTTCTGCTTCCACTGTGGAAGTCCTACGACTTTTGTCTCTTACTGGAATATCTAACCTAGACCGCCTGTGAACCCAGCCAGATCAGTGGTACTGTAAAGCTTCCTTTACCTTCACTTTTTCCATTCTAGGAACACTCCTTTTTTAATGTACGCTCAATTGTTAATACACACCTTGAACTAACGGGCTCTTAAGTGCACTGAACTTCCTCTCCCCTCCTAGCCAGCAGTATTTTGGAGGAATTTTGACACAAAATTAATTGCTTATTTCAAGCAGAGTTTTGATAGGTGGATGGATCTTGCAAGCATCAGGCACTGTACACTAGCGGAAGTTATGCAAATTACTCTGCTAAACACGGAGTTGGCTTGGCAACTACTAGAAAATTTAGAGTTATACCTATAGCCCCACGCTCCCACTGTGAAATAAGCTATTCTACAGCACATTACTAGGTTTCTCTAAGCTTAAAATAAATACAGAAGAATCACCAGCTCAATCCACAAAAGGTAATTGTGAGAAGAAATATGAAAACTAGCTAATTTATGCTCAAAGTACCTTCTGAGTCTAGAAGATCTGGAGAATCAAGCTTTAAATCTGTAGGATCTATACTCTGAAGTACCTGCAGTGTTTTATCCATCTTATCCTGAAAGGTGAAGAGAAGATTAAGAACAGTTATTTCTGAAGCATAGCAGAGACTGTTTTAATTTTCAAATAAAAAAAAAAGTTCTGTATATAAAAAGAATTATCCGCTAACATTCAGTAACAAATGTAAAATCGCAGCAATTGTTTTATATTGAAAGTGACTGCATACCTCATCTATATAAACTGGCTCAGGTTCTGATTTCTTAATTTCTTCTGTAGTATCCTCAGGAACAGAATTTTTATCCACAGTTGCTGAAAGAAAAATATTAGTTACTTTCTGCAGTTGTGTTACTATGCTAACTTAAAATACACATTTGCTCCTTGCTTGCCATCATATCTTTAAATGATAAGAGAAATGTGAATAAGTACTTCAAGCAGCAATGCACCTAGCACATTAGAGAAGGGAAAACAGGTTTGCCTAGAACGGACGTTCTGACAAGCTGCTTCCTTTGGGCTGTTAGCCTGATTATGAACCTAGGCTCAGCAAGGGAAAGACTCGTGAGTCATATTACATCTAAAAACATCTCCAGCACACGTATGGTTCCTTTCAGCCAAGTCCTAAGTGTTAAGATTTATTCTGGTATCATGAGCATGAATAAAGCTAACAATATGATTCTTACAAACCACTGACATGGGTATGAATGTTATTCTATACTAAATCTGATGTCTGAAAAGAGACTTTGATATTTCCAATGGCAAATTACTGGATTCATATGTAATATGTTACTGAAAAAGAATTATGGCAAATTGAACTGAATTTCTGTAATAGGAAAAAGATAACAACTTAGAAGAGAATCGGAAGATAGAAATCGTTGAAGTGAGCTACAACAGTGGTATATGCTTGCTTTCTTGTTTGAAACAAGGGCAGGATTTCTCTCTCAATTCTTTCCTTGGGCTGATTTCAGGAAATTATTTTGCTGATGGGCTAATGAGTAGTTCTACCAGAAGGCCAGCTTTCTAAAATAATGTATCAGCTTTTAGTAGCTAACTTACCTGCCTCAGGTTCCACATTTAAGTCAGAAGTCACAAAATTAGATGGAAACAGTCCTACTCCTCTATGATTTTCACCTTTCCACCAATTGGTGTCACTGGGGAAATAAAGATGTATTACAAAACTCTGAACATTAATGCTAGCGTCAGCGACATATTTTGGGCTTTGGACAGAAAACCTGCGCTTTCTAATACGCCGCTGCCCTGTGTATCCGACAACAAAGGCAAAGGAGAACATTTGAAGAGGTTAGCAGCAAAGCCAAAGACAGGAGCTGGGGCAGACGGCGGGGGAGGAGAAGAGGAGGGATCGGGGGAAGTAAAAATCATTCAGTAGCAATCGCTCAAAATTTAACACAACTCTTCAATTCTTTAGATTTATTAGATGATGGCCCATCATCTAAAAGTTTATAAGAAGTACGCAAGTGGGGACTAACTTTAGAAACAGAATTGGTCTGTCACAGTCTATTAAATTAGAACAGCATTAGGAGGAAGTTCTGCTTCTTAGCTATCGTTGGGTCAATGGTGATAACAACAATAATTATCTTAAGTATTTTTTCTTCAGTTTTATTCTTAGTAAACATGATGCTTGATAGCCAGAAATTTAACAATTTCTGGAAGTAGCTGGAATTGAGCACTGTAATGTGTATGTATATTCTTATGACATATGTTACAACCAACTAACATTAATCTTAAAAACTACAAACAAACTGGACCTACACCATGGCGTGAAATACCCAACGTAACACAATGAGGTTCTCCCTGCACCAAAAATGACTTGAGGTCAAAAACTTGGGGTATGGAAAGAATAGTGGAAGATAAAGGGATTTGAGGGAGGCTAGAGTGACAATATACACTTCTGTGGGGAAAAAAGCATCACAGAAAAAAATTGCTATCCTAAGAAAACAACAGTTCTGGAATAAAGGCACCTCCATTGGATATATTATACCTGTCATCCAAAACAAAAATAATTTCTCCACTTTTAAAGGTGAGCTCATTATCCTCGACGGCTTCAAAGTCATACAGAGCTCGCACCTTCCTTGAGTTCTGATTGTTTTGCTGAATTTCTGCAGATGGGTACAAGGATTTAGTTTCCATTTGTTGCTGTTTCTGCTCTTGCAAAGACAATTCGATAGCTACAATTAGGGGAGAGGGGAGAGAAAAAAAAGGTTTGTATATTTTATCCCTGTATACAAAGGCAGTTTGCTTTCCTAATAAAAATAATATTTATTGCTATATTATAAACATGGTCTGTATCTACTTCTTTAATATTTTAAGTTTAAAATCTTTGCTCCCAACTACTAGCCGTATTTCACATTTCAACAGCTTTACTCTGCCCTGCAACAGCATTAGAAGACATCATCATGCATGAGTTATGAAACATTTAAAAAAACCTCTGCTTTTCGTGGTACGTGCCACTACTTGAAGCAGCTCACACATTACTAATGTCAGTAGCATCATTAGCACGATCAGAAATACTGATGAATTCTTCACTATGACATCTGAACAACAGTAACTATATCCAAGAAAGAGGAGAAAGAATAAAACGTGTAAGTGTTCTGACTTTTTTTTAAAGCATCAAGATGAAGGCTAAAATAAAACATGTGGGTACAGAAGACCCAGCTCTCTGGAAAGCTATCACAAAACAATGCTAATGGCTACGTGATGGGGAAGAATATATCAATCCACAAGGAAAACACCTTCATACCATTTTGAATGATACAGTGTATTAGTTCCCAACCTGCTGTGCCCTTGTTTTCAATTCAATGCAGCAGAAGAGAGTACAATTTCCTATTTCCGTGCATTTTAACAAAACTTCTAGAGTACAAGTCTAACGCAAGGCTGTGACTAGCAATTTACCTTTAGCTATATCTTCATCTTCTTTGTTTTTACTTAATGATGAACCATTCTTAGCAGCATTTGTGGTTGCCTGCAAATGTATTAACAATAGAGTAAGTTCAGGTTACAAATGAAAAAGAAAGCTCTATAATTATACACTTTAAAAAATTAGTAATAAGTTGTTCCTGGTTAGCTGCCTTACTGTAGCATTTCATTACTGAATCAAGATGACCTTCCAGAAGAAAAGAATTACCACTTTTCAGAATCTCATGCAGATTTTCTTTTGTTTTCAGCAAGGAACAAAGTAAAATAAATAATCAGATCTAATTTAAATAACTGATCTCATTTAAATAATTATTTTAGTCTCATTTATTAAAGTAAGACTACTCATTCCACCTTTGCCCTCTCTTCAAAAGGGAAGAAAAGCTCTTTGGAGTCCTACATCTGCAAAGACCCAAGTTATTAAGCAGCAGCTGGACTTGCTGAAAAGGGAGGTCTCAGAGCAAAAAGCCACCCTCTATCTCTGCTGGTGGGACAGTGGGAAGGAAGAGCAAATGCACATCAAGTTGGGAGCTGCCGACTTAAATAACAGGAGTCTCCGTAACAGCATACTGAAATCATTCTTGGGAGTTTTCAGTCCGACAAGGAAGTCTTCTCACACATATGAGGAATGAAGAACCCAGTTTCAGACCCTAGGCGTGTCTAGGAGTTACCCATGGTCCTGGAAAACAATTCTGTACAAGTGCACCAAAAAATCATAAACCTCAGCTTTGCTTGTTTGAAGTGAAGTGTATGAGGTAAAAACATCAAGATGTCATTTTATATGTATTTGTAGGAAAGGAGGCATAATTGGTTGCCAGTATTCTAGATCTTCCATGTTACTGCCATATGTTTTAACACATATCCTACATTTAGAAGTGAAAACATCTTTGTGGAGGAAGGAAAGACTGTAAAAGTAAAAAACCCCTCTGTGTTTAATATAGAGAAAAGTAAACTTCATGTAAGGAATATGTAATAGAAGCTGTAGTTCTAATTTTCAGCACTGATCTTCACCTGACTCATAATTAACAGGGAAATATTTAGAAGCATATCAATAACAAAGCACAGAAAACCCCCACCTGTCATCGTATCTGCCAGCTAGAAGATCAGGCATATACACCACCAGCAGGAAAATACAAAGGGTGAGTTAGGGATCGGAGCACCCCACCTACTGCAGAGCCAGGACAATTCCTGACATGGACAGGTAACTGCATGAACAAGAAATGGGGACTTGGAAAAGGGAAGCATAGCACAGACCATGTCTCAATTCCAGATATTGCCCTTTGTTTTGTGAGACTCTGAAGAAAAAATGAAGGTATGTGCTCCAAGTCAGCAATTAGAACCATGAAACACCAAGTACAAAGTGTGGGTGTGGAATTGCTTCACTTTAACGTGGTGACAGCTCAATGAAGCTCTAAAAATGATCAGAAGAAAAGAAGGATCTAAAATGGAACAGCTCATAAGGGCATCATGAAATAGCCTTTAGTCTGTTCTTACTTTTCTTAGGAAGGCAAGGACATAAAAACACAGAATGAACAGAAGTGAACCTCAGCATAAGGAGGCAGCCAAAACAGAATCCTGCTCTCCTCCGATCAAAAGCACAAAAGATCTCCTTTGGACAGCTTTTCATTTTGTTCACTGCCAGGAACAGCGACCCTAACAGTACCATGTGTCCCAAATCAGCTTTTACCTGCGATCCAGCTGCAGGAAAAGTTACACCTTCTTCTTTTAAAGATTTAATAGTTGCAGATATTAAGCTACACTGCGGGTCTTTCTGAAATTCTTCCGACCACTCCACCATTAGAGCTTTTAGCTTTTCACATACTTTTGGATGAGCCTAGAAGACAAAATTGCATAGAAAGGGATGCTTGTACCTCAAAATGAACAGAAACAGTTGTTCCCCCTTGGTAAAACTTTGTTACCAAAACAATTTTACTAGAAATATCCTCAATAATTAATAACTGTCTTGGTTAAGAAAATTTGGGAAACAGAGCCCAGAATATATGGTCTTTTATACAATGATTCTGCTATCACAGACAGCATGCTTAGCTTCTGGAACATCATCCTTTCATTGGAAAGCTGGCATAGCTGTTTCCAACACCATTACCCCAATGCAGCAACAGACTGCAGGCAGTTCAGATTTCCCTGATTCTACCAAACAACTGGTTATTTTAAATCCGGGCTCCTTCAACCCTTACAGCAGTCCTCTGAGGCAAATTCTCTTGCGCAGCCAAAGCTTAGATCTTGCAGGCAGCTCACCTACCTATGCTGCTTTTATTTTAGTGGAGTCAATTGTAGGTGGTTAAGGAATGGCTAAGGAAAAAGACTGATTAAAAGAAAATGACTTTTCAAACATTGGCCATGTTTCCACCTCAATAGTTTTGGAGAAAGTCAGGCTATCTACCACACTTACCCCTACTTTTCCACACCCCTATGTTAGTTACCCTCCATTTCACCTCAATTTTCTCTTCATTACTTCTAATTTGCATTGTTATTCCCCTCCCAGCCACGTAAGTTGGTCTACTATAAGATACTGTCTTTCCGTACAAGACAATACCTCTTCCCTACCTTTTATGACCTCTGCTGTCTTCTCCTCAAGTGCCAGAACACGTTTCTCCCTGTTGACTTCTCAGGTGATAGGATCTCACAAAAAACTGATCTTTGTACCATCGCTGTATGTACATAAGTATGTACGTCTCCCTGATTCAGATTCTCTCACAAGAAGGAATTATGCATTATTCATTATGTAGTGCCACCCAGTTCATGGGACAGTTTATATTATTAGCTCCTGAACTAGGAGCTGACGTACAAGGACACAGTCAGGTAAGGGAAGATACTTCCTTGCGGTGGGGGCAAACCAAGATCGAGTTCACGCTCTGCCTGCAATTCCTCTGGCTCCCGCATTCTTCTCTAGCTTCCCGCATGAAAGAGCCTCTACAGCTCCCCTTCCTCCACTCTCATCCACAGGATTTACAGCTACTCTAAATCCACACAGGACCACTGATTTCATTCAGCACTGCAAATTTTATGTGCTAACAACCTCACCCGAAGTGATAATCCACTTTCGGAAAAGCAGGTCAGAGTCATGTATTACTCTACCGTATGGCTAAAGAATACCCTTCAGAGTGTACCTCAGACACATTAAACATCAGCTGCTGTTAATCCTGTAATCATGTAATAGCCTTAAAAATTTACTGGAGCAAAACGAACAACTCTTCAATAGAGCAGCTAATAGAGGTGAAGGTCATGCCAGCACTACGAGGGTAAAACATGGAGCAAAGCACTTCAGACTCCGTACGCTTTCTGGTTTTGTTGACAGTTGATGGAAAGACTGTAGTTTGAACCCAAAGCATCCAAATTAACCTCAGGATGCTTGCGGGTGAATAAGGGTTCTGGGGCTGCTGGGCTCACCTACATCTGTTTCACCTGGCTTGTCTGGATAAGAGCCTGGGACCGCACAAATGCGGTGTGCGGCCAGGATTTCTCATTTGAGCGTAGTTCAGATCACACTGTAAGCCTGCGCCTCACATGTAAACTTATGCTGAACAGTAAGAACGTTGACAAGCTTGGGCTCAAGCATGCATTTAATTGAAGAGCTGTAGCTTGATAGGCTCAGTATCAGCACAAAGGCATTTGTTACACGTGTCTGAACTGATTTTCTTTTGGAGAAAAGGGAGAAAGTACAATTTTATCTGTCCTCTGAAGATTATTCCTCCAAGTGGGCCAGGGACGTGGGTAAAATGTAAGGATTTCCCAACAACAAAATAAATGATGCTCCAGTAGACCATTCTTCAGTGGGATTAAAGGTTTGGTTTTACATCCACGAGAGCTGTCAGACCATGAAGGTCAATGTTCTATTTCAGAATGGACCACAGCTAATGGGAACAAAGGGGAGGACTTTTAAGACCTATTTTTCCATACAAAGTGAGAAACAGAAGAGCTGTGAACTCATTTTGCTTCCCAGCAATTTTATTAGTTTCCTTAATTGCTTTGCTCCACCTCTGATGATTCCAGGCCTCCCATATATTTGAAGACTAACTTCTTTTTAACCCATTAGCCATTTTTGTCTTCAACTGGAGCAGTAATTAGGGGAAAGCTGTTTCTGCTTATTCAATTCATTACATCCCGATTTAGATCCCATCAGCTGCTTGACCCTAACCATTTAGGTCTTCCTTTTTTTGTTACCTCCTCATTCAGCGTTCTGAGAATCTCTAGAAATTAAGTTGTCCGAAGACTTTATCCTTTTCCTTCTAAAAACGTAGTTGAACTTTCTCACAGTTTTCCCTTTGCACTTCAGCCCATGAATTTCATTCAAGCCAAATAAAAACTCTCTTCAAGAAAAGCTGCCTTCACCATTATCGAATTAATCGAGCTTAGGAAGAGTCACAAATTTTAATTAAACTTGCTCATGCAATTTTGAAAAAATTGGGAGTAGGTATTATTAGCCTGTCACTTCTTTCATACATTATATTTTCATAGTAAAAATTAAAGTACACAAATTTCAGTGATAAGACAAACAGCCAGCAGTACCTGCAATTGCACCAAAACTAGAAAATGCATATTAAATACAACACTAGTTTTGCCAAATCTTTGCTATGCTGAGACAAAGTAGTTACCAACATAATTGTCCCCCACTACTTAAGGTTATAAAAAAATTACCTTATTTATTATACCTCGAGCTTCACTAGCAAAATCACGAGAACATACTTCTAAGTGAAATATTTTTCCACAGTTTGATACACAGGCTCCTAAAAGCTGACAACAGAAAGACAATTGTGAAAATGACAACAATGAAAATAATCCAAAATAAAAGCATACATAAAAAGAGTTTGATTTAATCCCTGTTCAGCATGCACGCTCTATATATTTTCAGTAGAAGTCAAAGGTATTAATCAATCAGTACACATTTAATAGCTGCATTACATAAAAGAATACAAAGGTTTATGAAAATAGTGATAGTCTACTCACTGTAAGTGCTTGCAAAGCCACATGGGGAACTTTATGATTTACTCTCTTCATGATGGCTTTAAGGCAATCCTTTGCTCTGAAAAAGGAACAAAGAAACTATTAGTCATCAATGTGACTGACCTGATCTGCGGCATGAATGATACCAGATGCTCAAGTTGGGTAAGCAAACAAAACTGGGTCTGTTGAAAAAAAAAAAAGTAACCTAACCTAAACTTTTCCCAGCGCTAGTCTGGAAAAAATATGTAACAACTTGTTTGTTCTTAGATGTGTATTGGATTGGAACAGACTCCATTTTTACGCTGGTGTTTTGTATTAATTTCCATAAAACTGCTGACAGGCCATAAAGGGAGCGATTACCATTAAGTTGAGGAAACACATTTGAAAGAGACAATGAAAGAAATGTCTACATATAAAAAAGAAAAAGGAGCAGTGATGATTAAATACATGCTTATTTTACTGGCTACTGTAAAGGGTCTGCATGGATTTAATTTAAAAATCGTGCTCACAGGTTGTCAGCCCTTGGATCCCATTTTCAAGACACTAAGGATACATAAAGATTTTATAATTCGTTTCAGCAAAATCTGAGATAAGTATAGAATAATGATTAGCACTCTAAATGTTACTCTACTACGGAGTTTCAGCCTTAAAATGAGCATTGAAGGCACATAGCTGCTACATGGGCTGAAGCATATGTAAGGCTTCATTAACACTATTATTTTGGAACCCCTAAAACCACAGAATCGCTATGTAAAGAGCTGATGCAGCACCTTTACAACTAATAGCACTTTGCAGTGTGCTTGAGCTGCTGTATTATCGAAGCACAGAAATGCCTCCACAAGGCTGCGCGTCTCCACGTCGCCTAGCGATCTCGGCTCGAACAACCCGTGCTCTTCACCGCCAAGGCTGTGGTTCCCCGGTCCCTTTAGGCAGGCACACGTGAAAGCCACTGATGAAAGTAGCGGACCAAACTCCTACCGTCCCCTCCGCCGGCAACGCAGCCCCCTTCCCTTCCTGACCGAGGCTGTAGCAGTCCTGCAGTGCCTGGATCAAGGAACTGATCTGGCCGAGCACTTCAGTTTTCAGCCAGATCACTGCCAAGATCAAATTCACCAGGAATCGCACAAGGGGCCAGAGGAAATATCTGACAGCCCTCTTCAATGCAAATTCTCCCTCCTGTCAATTTAAAGTCATCGTGGAATTGCAACCTGAGGCAAAGCTTAAAAAAAAAAGCCTGTGCAGAATTGAAACCAAAACTGTTTCACTGTTAACATTAAAAAAGATGTTTGCTTCAAGGTTTTGTTTCAAAAGATGTCTGTTTCAGTATAGTGTGTGTACAGTAGTGAGAAAGATTTTATGCCGCTAATTAAACAAGATAATAGAGTCATAGAGTCATAGAATGCTTTGGGTTGGAAGGGACCTTGAGAGATCATCGAGCCCAACCCCCCTGCAGTAAAATAAACTGCATCTATATTCACATTTTGGTTTAGATCAGTGGTCTGGTTTTGAAACAAATTTTCTGATCGTTCCCACATGTCGCACATTTAGTTCACAGTAGAGTTTTGCGCACACAAATTAATTTCATTTTGGAAGAAACTAAGCCAGAAGCTCCTCTGTGCACACCAAATGTGCGCCAACCTCTCAAGGAGCCACCAGAGTCAGCGACAGGATCTGCAGACAAATTTGGACCAATTCTGGTGTGGATGTTAAGTTTAGGAGAAGAGATTAAACCTGTTCTGAAGGGGGAAAAAAAACCACCCTGAGCTGCAAATTGGATGATTGCAGTGGCTTCGGTACAACCGCTCTGGTTTGCTACTCCAGCCCTACCGTGCTGAGTTAATTGGTGATGCATGCGTAGTCAGAGAAGTACAGGGTTAGGCCTAATATTGAGTACATTTGGTCACAGTTAATATACAAACAATCCAACAAAGTCAACATACTTGTTGTTAAGCTATATATTTGTTTAAGGGTAGGTAACAGTATTTCTTATTTTCAGAAGACTGCTCTTAGCGAAGGGCAGGAGGGAAGAAAACTACACAAAACTGAAGGAAAATATGCTAGCAATAGTGGCATTTAAAATTCAGAATTTAGGATTTTATTGTATATACAGAATATATATTAAGATTTACTTACGTATTTTATATATGTAGTTATATATTTTGGATGTGTAATTACAAAAAAAACCCCACCCTAAATTGTTTACAATCTCCCTCCCCCCAAAACAAGCAGATTTAAAAGTCCCCTCTACAAAAGTATTTTGGCACTAAAAAAACCCCAGATTTTTAAGAAAGGATTCAAAGGACATTCTACACTTTTTTTCTTAAGGACTAAAGATTCCCAGATTAAATAGATTTGCTATTATTCCCTGTGGGAGGTAATTAATACAGAAAGAACTTTCTCAGTGTAGTAATCTTAAACGTTACATGTAACTGATAAAAATTCTAAGATCACTTAAGAATTCAGCCTATGCACTAATTCAGGTTTACTTCAAAATTTAAAACATTTTATCACTCAAAAAGGTTACCTTAAAATTCAGCAAATACTTTTGGCCATTATCAGATCATTGAACTACCACTCACATTTCAGTATTACCACTCAGGCTAAACTGATTCAAACTGATCTGTGTTTTGGTCCCCATTTTTTCCCCTTTTCTCCTCCGTCAGTCCCATTCCTCCTAATGGATAAACACAGACAAATTTCTCATCATAAATAGCTAACTGTCCCAGCTAGATAATTTTCTGCAAAGAAACTAGTTCACTTTTTCCTACTGGCACAGTTGCTTCTCGAAATTTATGCAAGATCATTAAATATGAATAACTTGGTCTACTGTGCAAAACTCCATAAAAATTGGAATGCACTCAGCATATACAAATTGCTCTACTCGAAATGCTGTTGGAACATTTCTTTCAAAGAATTTTAAAGCCAACTACATGTATCTGTAGAGCTTGCAGACCTGTCAGATTGGTAGCACTTTCTGCGTAGCTGACTACACTGAGCATTTTGAGACGCGTTCTCTCTGAACCAGCATTCTTCTTCACATGAACATGAAATTACACGTTGTAATGCTGAGACACAGCTTACCCATTAGGAGTACTTCCAACTTTGTCACATATATCCATAATAAGACCCCAGTCCTCACTGGTGTTACATTCATTTGTAGCCTTTTCTAGAAAGAAAAACAAGATTGATTAAGTGTAATGCCCTCATAAGTCCAGATTCTAGTCAAGGAACACTGTCTCAGTCATACCAGAAAAAAAGACTCCACGTACAAAATATTAAGAGGCAGTGTCTTCTGCAGATCAGTGTAATTCTTGCTATCTTGTAAAGTGTTATGTACGGTTTTCAGCACTGGACTGTGCTACACAGATGTGATAAGTATTTAAAAGATCCCAAAATAGAACCAGCTCTTGAAGTGTAATGTTGTACATGATGACAAAGAAACTGCTTCGTACCGTTGTTTAGTTACTCCAGGTTTAAGTCATAGCCCTAGTTTAGAGTTTGCTCAAGGTCTTCTAACATTTGCATGCCATTAAGTATTTCACATGGATGTTCCAAGGGGAAAAAAAAAAACCCAAAAAACCCCACCACCAAGAAAAAGAATCTCTTTAGGACTCTAAAGGAAAGCCATCTCCTCATTTGACACACTTACTAAAGTATTTTTTTCTACTAGACTTTTCAGGAAAACTAAATGCCACAGCAAGTGTTAAGAAAAATAAATGGCATGGAAGGATTAATAAAGAACACAGAGGGGGCAACAAAAACCAGATTGCTCTGTCGAAAGAATGCATCCCTAATTAATATTTGCAGCATATCGTTCTATATATTAACTGATAAGGCTTAATGTTATTTATTTGTGCTTTCGTTTCAAGTTTTTATTAGAGCCATGTTATTTTAATCACATGCAAATATTACAGTTCTACTAAAATAGCTTATAAACAGCAAATTAAATATTTTACACATTGCATTTGCTGCCTTAGGATTTAATTTTAACCTGCCAATTTAATATTTTAACTCAGTTCAAAGATAAGTGCTTTTAGATTTTTATGCTAGATATTAATCCCACTAGAATGCACTTCATAATCGCAGCAATATCATAATCAGTACTTTTACAGAATTTTACTTTGGTAAGAGAAGCCACTAAATCCCTTTGGGAACGAGTATTTTAGAGACTATTTAGTAGACTGAAGCAGAACATAACGGTCACTCACTGTTGATGTGATGGTGTTCTGTGATAGCAGCTGTTCCAAAATTACAAGATTTGCTGACAGCAATACTACTGGAGGATAAACCCAATTTCATGTGCGCAATTAAGCATCTTCTCTGATAATCGGTTTCACTACTTAGTTTCGCAGTTAAAAGTTGCAACAATACTCAGGCTAGCTCAGCAGAATGGCTTCCACAAAGAAAACGCAAGCGTAGCAGCCAACAGGGCCCCTAAAACCCCTTTTGTTACAGATGTAAAAGCAGACCGAGAAGGAGCAATGGAAATTTGCAGTTTTGGCCATAGGTTATCTGCGCAAGCTTAGACTATTTAAGGGAAGCAAATACTGTGTTGAAAGCGTGTTCCTACAGCACAAGTCATCTTAAAAACTTACCCAGAAAGGACATAGTTGTTAAATTTTAAGTACATCAATATTTTTAGGATACTAACACAAAATTCATTGCTTGTTCTTGAAAATAAACGAGCTCCCGCAAGTTAAAACACTTTAACATTCAGTTTATTTAAAAAAACCCCACCAAACCAAAACAACCCCCATACGCACATTTCCTGGATACGTGAACCCTAAGTACTGAACAATCCCAAAAGAACAGCGTAACACAATGTCTGGTGCACACAACTTCAGCCTGATGTTTCCTATGAAGCTCTGCCAGCTAAAACTGCTTTTTGAAAGCATCTCCTTGCACGTCTCCATCCCCAGTGGTGCGAATCCTCCCATCCAAACTTGTCAGTCAAATTAATCCACCTCATCAAATGACAGCAGCCATCAGTCATGTGTATGAAGCCGGCCCCCCAATGACAACTAGCACCAATGCCTATAAAACAGGCCGGGCACATTATTTAATCCCACTGCCTGGTGTCAGCCTGATCTGAAACCCATCTGCCCCCTGAAACTCCTGGAATATTTCAGAGATGCCTCTTTCTGCAAGTGCCCCTCTTCCACAAGCAGAGAGAGAGCAGCTAATAGAAAACAGTAAGAAATGGCCGTAGGTCAACAAAAAGGCGCAGAAGCCAAGAAAAACTGAGGTTGTGTTTCACACCCAAGCCTTCAGAACCATAAACGGCCACAAACAGCAGTGACCAACGCTGCACTTGGGCTCTTCCAGGTCTCAGCAATGCCCACGGACCCGGGAGGATGCAAGCTCAGCTGAGACACCGCAGTACTTTGATACAGGTGGGCACAACCAGTGAAGCAAGCCTCAAGAGAGGCACTGTCATCCTTTTAGGCTTTGTTTATCGTTTCATACGCTCCAAAAACCCCAAACCCAGACCTCCAAACTTTCCTCTTCCTACACTCCCTTCTCTTTCCCTCCACTACTCTCCTTTTAAAATGGGAAACAAATCAAATCAGGTAATTTACTTTTGGAGAAGTTATGTAAAAAACCATAATTGCATCCACAAAATACATATAAGATGCTTTGAGAGGACACACCTATCTGATTTGCTAGTAAAAAGTACTCTCATGTAAAATATCACAACAACGAAACCAACCGAAATAGTTACTTGGACAAAAATACATAGAAAGTTTAAAATTACTCTGTTTACAAGCCATATGCAAGCTTGTAAACTGACCCTGCAGGGTAAACACTGCGAAACCAAGCCCCTCGCTTTGTACATGCTGTCATACAGATCCAGGAAGGTCCCCACAAAGGGTGCCAGGTAAGGAACAGGGTAAAACAAGTGCAGCGGTGCAGCTCGGTGGAGCTCCAGCTCCTTCAGCCTGCCGGGATGCATCAGCACCTCTCCTCCCTTTACGGTGTTCGTTACGTAGACACAGGCGTCACTTTTGTCCTCTACAAAAGACTCAAAAGCGCTTGCCAGGGGATATATTGAAGTTTTCCTGGACACTTACAGGAAATCACGATCAGCTTTGCCTGCCATGACAGAAGATGTCCCACGCTATCCTGATGAACTCTTCCACTGTCGACAGGAAGGCTTAATGTTTACCAGGCTTCACTGAGAAGTTTTCAACTCCACACCTTCTACACCTTGGAGACCAGCATAGCTACCATAATGCTTAGCACTACTTACTCACAGCTCCCATGCTTTTCCTCCTCTCCCCCAGCCAGCATGTTCATACACGGAGGCATATTGAATGCAAACTCCCTCCTCTTGTATCTACGCAGCCTGTTCGAGGAGTGGATGTGGTCCCGGTGAGAATATGGAGGCTGCCCTATGGCAAACTCTTACAACTTTTGAAGTTTTCTTCCCTGCCAGCATGACAAATTTAACAGCATCTGTTTTTTTGCTTAACACGGGCTCCAGCTGAAGAATAATCTTGAAGGAGAACTACTTCACAGATGCCGAGACATGGACTTTGATCAGAAGAAACAGATGCAGGAGGATGCATTTTCCAAGATTTTCTTGGTGCTAAGAGAATAAAAACTTTAAAAAAAAATGCTATGACTTATACTCTGTCGTCCTCCAATTAATGAATGAACACTAGACTTGAGCTTACTTTTATAGAAATAACGATAAAAGCAAAATACGTTTCTTTTTATTGCTGCTTGGTATATTTTTAAAATTCCACAAAGAATTCAAAAATCACAATTAATCATTTTTAACTGGAGCAGTTCCCTGATCTGATTTGCCATGCAGCTGCACGAAAAACTATGCCAACACAAGAGAGGAGATAGCACTAAAATGAGTAGCTGGGAAGGGGACAGGAACTGTTTACTGATAGTACTGCCAAAAGAAGAAATGCTTGGCAAACTACTGCCTTAAAACACTGTCACCAGCTCTTCCAGAAAAGAAGGTAATGCTTCACCGTGGCATGCTAAAGTCAAGTTTTGCAGGATCCTCCCTCTACCACACAATATCCAGAAGGGCTGCTGCATCTGCAAGCAAAGCTGGACGTCACCCTTTCCAGCCTAACTACACTAGTTCTTTTCCCCCTTTTCACAAGAAAGGCATGGGTAATACACATAAATAACACCAAAAGACAGGAGGAAAAAAAATACTACGAGGACTGCAACGGGGTAACACATGGCAATCCTCAAAAGCATCCCTGAAAACATCTTTTCAAACATCAAGTCCTCAGTCTCTGAAGATCCTGGCACAATGTCAAAGATCTGCTTTCGTAATTAAGTGCGCTGCTGCACGTTCGCTCTTACAGGCCTGGAAACACCACGCAGAGCTCGCAGCCTCCACACCTTGCAGCTTTCACACAGCACCTCTCTCGAGGCCTGCTGCATTTCCAGCAACGCACAACCAGCACTGGGATCCCTCGGGTTTGCAAATGCGAAAGGAACGCGCCCCATTTCCGATACAACACTAAGAATTCTGCAGATATGTCTAGGATCTGTCTATACTCACAATAACAAGCAGCAAGGAAAACAGCATGAGCAACTGAGGGAATCTTAAAATACCTATATGAACACGAAAGGAAGAAGAGAAAGGGAATTACGGGAACCTCACAGCCCCCAGGACCCCCCAAGCATGATACGAGCACCCCAAAAGTTCTGCGGAAATCTCTGCCAAGAGATGTTGTGCCAACATGACACTTTGATTCCTACCAAAAGTGTGTCACAATGTGACACAACACAAATCTCTCACTGACCGCCTCTGCTGGAAATCTATATCCCATTTAACATTTGACATGGCAAAATCAGCAATCCTGGTCTGATGACAGCTCTACCTCTATGCTGCCTAGCACATACGACCTTCGAACTTGCAAAATATTTTGTTATTTCAGTCCTGAATTCCCTTGAGCCAAGCTGGCCAACAATGCTAAATAATATGTCACTTAAAAAAAAAAAACCAACAACAAAAAAAAACCCCTAGAACATAACATTTTTCCCCCGTGTCAATTTGCATGCTAGAAACAGAGAGAAAGCAAGCACTCAAGCACTGATTTAGCACAAAGAACTTTTCGATTTGATATGGCATTTGCTAAAGACTGTGATCACTAAAATAAAAATTTTCTAGAGACTAATTTGCCCCAC